GGTTATTATGTCTGGTTGTTATGTCTACTAAGTCTGGGTGTTATGTCTGGCTGTTATGTCTGGCTGTTATGTCAGGCTGTTTATGTCTGGAGTGTTATGTCTGGCTGTTATGTCTGGTTGTTATGTCGGTGTTATGTCTGGTTGTTATGTCTGGTTGTTATGTCTGGTTTATTTATGTCTGGTTGTTATGTTGGTTTGTTTGTTGGTTTTTTTGTGTTTGTTTGTTGGTTTGTTATGTCTGGATTTATGTCTGGCTGTTATGTCTGGCTGTTATGTCTGGTGTTATGTCTGGTTTGTTGTTTGGTTGTTATGTCTGGCTGTTGTCTGGCTGTTATGTCTGGCTGTTATGTCTGGTTGTTATGTGTCTGGTTGTTTATGTGTTGTTATGTCTGGCTGTTATGTCTGGCTGTTATGTCTGGCTGTTTGTCCGGCTGTTATGTCTGGTTGTTATGTCTGGTTGTTATGTCTGGTTGTTATGTCTACTAAGTCTGGGTGTTATGTCTGGCTGTTATGTCTGGCTGTTATGTCCGGCTGTTATGTCTGGGTGTTATGTCTGGCTGTTATGTCTGGCTGTTATGTGTGGCTGTTATGTCTGGTTGTTATGTCTGGCTGTTATGTCTGGTTGTTATGTCTGGTGTTATGTGTCTACTAGAGTCTGGGTGTTATGTGTTCTGTTATGTCTGGCTGTTTGTCAGCTGTTATGTCTGGGTGTTATGTCTTGGCTGTTGTCTGGCTGTTATGTCCGGCTGTTATGTCTGGTTGTTATGTCTGGTGTTATGTCTGGTTTTTATGTCTGGTTGTATGTCTACTAAGTCTGGGTGTTATGTCTGGCTGTTATGTCTGGCTGTTATGTCCGGCTGTTATGTCTGGGTGTTATGTCTGGCTGGTATGTCTGGCTGTTATGTCTGGCTGTTATGTCTGGCTGTTATGTCCGGCTGTTATGTCCGGCTGTTATGTCTGGTTGTTATGTCTGGTTGTTATGTCTACTAAGTGGGTGTTGTGTCTGGGTGTTATGTCTGGCTGTATGTCCGCTGTATGTCTGGGTGTATGTCTGGCTGTTATGTCTGGCTGTTATGTCTGGCTGTTGTCGTTTTATGTCCGGCTGTTATGTCCGGCTGTTATGTCTGGTTGTTATGTCTGGTTGTTATGTCTACTGTCTGGTGTGTTATGTCTGCTGTTATGTCTGGCTGTTTGTCCGTGTTATGTCTGGGTGTTATGTCTGGCTGTTATGTCTGGCTGTTATGTCCGGCTGTTATGTCTGGTTGTTATGTCTGGTTGTTATGTCTGGCTGTTATGTCTGGCTGTTATGTCTGGCTGTTATGTCTGGTTGTTATGTCTGGTTGTTATGTCTGGCTGTTATGTCTGGCTGTTATGTCTGGCTGTTGATGTCTATTTGTTATGTCTGGTTGTTATGTCTGGTTTTTGTTGTCTGGCTGTTATGTCTGGCTGTATGTCTGGCTGTTATGTGGTGTCTGTTTTATGTCTGGTTGTTATGTCTGGTTGTTATGTCTGGCTGTTATGTCTGGCTGTTATGTCTGGCTGTTATGTCTGGTTGTTATGTCTGGCTGTTATGTCCGGTTGTTATGTCTGGTTGTTATGTCTGGTTGTTATGTGGCTGTTATGTCTGGCTGTTATGTTCGGCTGTTATGTCCGGCTGTTATGTCTAGTTGTTATGTCTGGTTGTTATGTCTGGTTGTTATGTCTGGCTGTTATGTCTGGTTGTTATGTCTGGTTGTTATGTCTGGTTGTTTATGCTGGCTGTTATGTCTGGTTGTTATGTGTCTGGTTGTTATGTCTGGTTGTTATGTTTGGCTGTTATGTCTGGCTGTTATGTCCGGCTGTTATGTCTGGTTGTTATGTCTGGTTGTTATGTCTGGTTGTTATGTCGGCTGTTATGTCTGGCTGTTATGTCTGGCTGTTATGTCTGGGTGTGTTATGTCTGGCTGTTATGTCCGGCTGTTATGTCCGGCTGTTATGTCTGGTTGTTATGTCTGGGTGTTATGTCTGGCTGTTATGTCCGGCTGTTATGTCTGGTTGTTATGTCTATTAAGTCTGGGTGTATGTCTACTAAGTCTGGGTGTTATGTCTCTATGTCTGGCTGTTATGTCTGGCTGTTATGTCTGGTTGTTATGTCTATTAAGTCTGGGTGTTATGTCTACTAAGTCTGGGTGTTATGTCTACTATGTCTGGCTGTTATGTCTGGCTGTTATGTCCGGTTGTTATGTCTACTAAGTCTGGGTGTTATGTCTGGCTGTTATGTCTGGTTGTTATGTCGCTGTTATGTCCTGTTGTTATGTGTCTGGCTGTTATGTCTGGTTGTTATGTCTACTAATCTGGGTGTTATGTGCGTGAGAACAAGAGAGGTGTAGTTTTGAATTTTGTACCGAAAGGAAGGCAGAATTTACGATAGACATCTGGTGAACATTTACTTACTCCACTATCAACACCACTCATCCACACACACATCCCTACCGCCACCACCATCACCTTCCACCACCAC